GGGAGTATGCTTCTAAGCTTCGGAATACAGGATTTAAATAACTCAATGAAGCTCACTTCTGCGTCCCTGGTGCATTTCGGCTTTGCGCTGCAGCCAATCAAGATGTCGAAGATATGTGGGCGAGCCTCGTGTTTGCGCAGTCCATACGGGGTTATGCAGGACATAATCGATTTTTTCGCCTTATTGAGCTATTTTCAGTCTCCATTTTTGGGAGCAGTGTCTCATCGTGGTCAATATAGCTATCCGGTCGATTCAAATGAGGGTTCTATCCACCATTTTCTCTTTTATAGCAGCAGAGTGGCCGTAATGTCATTACCGGCATGAGGAAAACCTACGGCCTTGCCATCCACTCAAAACGCCGTCATTTTCACTGAATACAATACTACTCGGTCATACATATTATGAGCATTATACAGACACAAGCCCGGGGCAAAAGTGAAGATTGGACATATGTACATAGCTTCAAGAACACAAATCATATTCAAAATATACCTTGTCGCTGATGTATCTATCTTGCAACGTATTCAACCCATGTCATCCGCGTTGCCCTGCAAATAATGGTGGCAAGTCAGACTCACTGGTGTGATACGATGACGGAGGATATACCTTGGGAGCTGCGGACAGACGACTGTGGGCCATTGCTCGTGATTTTCGCGCGTCCCATGAAACCGAAACCTATCCCCTGTTCAGTTTGACGAGTGGGAAGGGATGCAGCAGCACGCACGCAAAGCGTAATGGGCAAGCTCTCGCATGCGGCCCCAGAGCGACAGCTCTGGCAAAGTTTAAGTCAAATGAGGACATCCTGGCGAGGTATGCTCACTCTGTTGGCCTGTATCCTGAGTCGGGGAGGTTTGCGGTCTCTGTTTGCCTGTATCCTGAGTCGGGGGAGGTTTGCGGTCGAAAAGGTCATCGTTGAGACGTTCTGCGTCTACTCTGGCCTTGTCGACGCGGGCTCTGCGATCATCAAATATCCTGGGCAGGGTTAGCGAGGTTCCGTTTTTCCTTATGAAGGATGCTGCGCGCCTTTGGAGGTTTTTAACTTCTTCGAGGTACTCGTACGGATTCCCGCAGATTTCCTCGATGGGGACGGTCTCGAGGTCGTAGTTCACCTTGATCACAGGTGTTTCCGACCAACGCGAGAGCAAGTCCTGTAAGTACGCACTAAGAGCGTTGTGGGCCTGTGAATGCTGCGCGTTTGCTTCATTGCCTGCAACCCATAGTAAGTTTTTCATTAGCCTAACTCGGTGGACATGAATTAAAATACGCACCATGCTTTTGCGCTGCCTGGTTAGCACCAGAATTGTTTGTGTGACCCCCAGTGTCAAGGGGTGTGAAGGATGGGGCCTCGTCATCTTCAGCTTGCCAGCGCTCATACATGGGCCGCAGACCCTCGTCTTCGGGCTCTCGATTGTCGTTTCCATGCTTCAGGCTAGCAGCCCAGGCTTGATCATCTTCGCGATATCCAAAAGCAATCTCCACCTGTTGGCGGGGCACAAGGGCGTACTTGCCTCGCGCTGGTTTTGCGTCTTCTCCATGTACCACGCGCACGGTCTGGTGGACAGTTGTACATTGATAACAGTTTCCCCATGGGAGAACGGGCAAGGTGTTGAGTGCAATCCGTTGCAGCAAATTGGTCGTTGCTGGAGCAATGGGAAGGGTCATTTCGGGGAGAATTTTTAGGGACTCAGTCGAATATTTGAACGTTCCACCGACAGAAACCAAATCAATCTCTGTGGGGTACAGAACACCGGGGTGCATAGGATACAATAGATGCTAGGATGCGGACATCAGTTGTTAATGGACAGAAGTGCACGGTATGCTCACGTACTGCGTTATCAGTTGTGCAGCATCCTACATACTTTTTGGTGCGTGGTACCAGTTCCTGCACCTGCATCGCAACCTGCTCGTCGTCCAAATACTGGCTGCAAGACTGTTCAACGTCCAAGGAAAACACAAGATATTCGCCTTTGACGGGTAGGCGAACCATCTGAGCAAGTCGCGGGACGACGTGAATGACGGAAGAAGAGTTGGGGTCCTGTGTGAAACGAATATATAGCAGAACCTCGTACCAAGTGTGATACTTGCCGATCTGTTTACGCGTCTCGTTGTTGCAAAAACAAGCAAGACAATTTCCTCCTGAATAACCTCGCCCAATAGGGAGCTCACGCTTATGCTCGCGTTCAGCTCGTATACGTACACACTGAGCGCCTCGTCAGTCGGGGCCCATTTACTTGATTGAGTCTTCAGTCAGCCCGCCGTACAACCGCTGTCGCTGCAGATGAGTGAAGTCTTGCATTGACGTGTGACTCGGAAATAGGCCGTAAGGTTTGAAGTCGCTGTGGTTAAAGTCTTAGTTCGAACTTCGGATCAAAGGCCGATCTTATATAATAACCATACTCTGAGTAAGGAGCGCTAAGTGCTAAGTAAGCGCTCCAAGACTCAAGAGTAAACTTGAAAGCCAGTGACTGGCCAGTGAAAGCCCGATAGGTGAAGTATAAATAATTTGCGGGTCTTCGAGGGAACCGGATCTGAATCCTGTATACAGTACAGTGGAGTCATTTCCGCGGGGTTGAGTCTTGACGCGTTATCGTTGACGCTTTCAGTTGTCGACGTGCGAGGCGTGTAGGTAATTAATGAATCAAATAGGAACATCATGTCATTGTTTACCAAGCCTTTTTCTCAACGCAGTGCGCGTGCTGCGCAAGCTAGATATTGGTAGATTCTTTGTCTAGGATATGGTAAGCCATACTCTATCTTACATATCGGAAACCCTCCCTTTGCATGACTTTGTGCCCGTAAGTTGGCCAGGCTTCGGCCCTCATGTTGGCAGCCAGGCGCGGAAAATCCCATTCCAACAGTCTCGAGCTTCTATGTAGCACAAGATATGCCGTCAATTTCAGCGAAGGAGCACATTCACCCTTTAAGTTTCAACAGCGGTGCCGCTGCGATAGACAGATTGCTTCCAATGGAGCGTCTCAGCCTAGCAAGAAGATTCATCTGGATTTTGGCGTACAGAAGATCTGTACAAAATTCAGACATGGGGTAAGCAAGAACTACTGCGGTGTGTACATGTAGCAAGGTTGTCATTTACGCCACAATCGAAGGCGCCTATCTGCTAAATACTAATGCACTCAGCTACGGTGTTATGTTTCCTCAGAACTGTTGAGAAAAATTCGCGTTTGTTTCAGAGCGATATTCACTTCAGTGGAGAGCAAAGGCTGGCCCCAGCAATTTTACTACTAGTGCAAGTGAGAAACACGAAAGGAGGGTGGAAGGAGGCTTCTGTGAACGACAGGGAACGAGTGTATGAGACTTTAAGAGGGCTGGCATAAAGCGCTGTTGTTCGGATAGTGGAAATAACCGCTACACGCCACACAGACATAGGCCAGCGTTGAAGCCTTGCAGAAGCAGCGAGGCCACAAGTACTTGTAGCCTCTCCGCGCAAGTAAGCAGACCCAACTTCTGCACTACAGCCCATCCCCGTGGTCAAAGCTTCTTTATTCGAAGCGTACCTTTAACTTACGAGCTTCAGTAGTGCGCACCGTGATCCACAGCCTTGTCTGAAAGTCACATCCTTTTGGTTATCGAGATGGTACCCAGCGCTCGAAGCCAACAACAAGACTCGATATCCAGTAACCTGGCCAGTGGCGACTATCCTTCTGGTCAGGATGCTCTCGGAAATTCCTCCCAAGACTCGGGAATCCATCGCTCCTCTGATGAGTCTGAGCTGATCAAGACCCGTCAAGTTGTGCGTGTATGGCAATCCCTTCAGTGTCCATACCTCTCTTTATGTCGAATTGCCCTCGATCAACTCAGGCAGAGTTCGCTGGATTTGTTGACGGCTTCGTCGAAGGCAGAGACTGATAGTCTTTATGCTATTTCATGCAAAGCTGAAGACAACATTCGAGATAAATGCAGTCGAGATCCGAAGAAAGGCCCTCGCCCGGTTGTTGTAGACCTGAATTCTGCGTTCGGCGTTCCAGCCAACATGCTCGCGCTGCTGGACAACCCGAACGGACCGCCGGCTAAATGCTGGGGTTTTCCGATAGGCACCTTCAACAACATCAAGGATTTCGATACCCTCGAAGCCATCAAGAAGGAGTTCGCCGTTCCATTAGAAGTCGAGGGACAGACGCTGGCAGGGCCTGTTGACTTAGTCTTGAAGACGAGTCCTCCATGGAAAATAGGCGGGGGGAAGGGGAAATTGGCTTATGTCATTGCTATACCTATCCCGATCCCGGAGATGCCGACGAGAAGTGACGCCTGGTTGAGCGATGGCCGTAATGCACCCTCATGCGGGGTAGTAACAATGGAACAGCCCTCCTACAGAAAACTTGTCAGGTTCAGTCACGATAAAATGGATGCGTTCCTCAGGAGAGCCAAGGCCAAGGATGGGTTGGCATATGTTGAGCAGTGTTTGCGCGAAATGGGTGCTCCAGTCGATGCTGACAAAAGTGTACGTGCTGAGTTGCTTTGAAAACTTGGATTACGAGCCGCTAACTTTGCAACTGAAGATCGGCTCATCCTCTACGCTAGACAAGCTTAACACCCTGAAAAGGCAGGTGCAGAGGGAATTGCGCTCGTAGTGCATACATTACTAGCAGCCTGGGCCATGTGTGATCTCATCTACTTTCTCTTGGGTTTTCGTTCATACCTATGCTACATACAATATTTATTCTCGTATACTATGTTCATCCATAACGGCCTGTATGCGCTTGCGAAAACGGACCAAAATGGAATGCAACGAGCGTGATCGGCGTATCCGACGTTATCATGTTAGACTCATTGTTTGATCGAAGCAAAACACGTAAGCAAAGCACACTCTGCAAGAAAACGTGTGGTTGTGGATACTCGGCGCGTCCAACTATGGGTACATTGAGGAGTGCAAAAGAGCTATGTTTTGTGTGATTCAACTTAACGGGAAGTACTTGTTTCTAACCACGACCAGAGGGACTTCTTTAGCAACGATTTCAAGAGTGCCTACAAAGCCCGATCATCATGTCCGCATAGCTCAGTGGTAGAGCATTGTACTTATGTGGTTACCAAACACCCGTGGCACTTCACGTGATATGCAAGGGTCTCCAGTTCGATCCTGGGTGTGGACATGTTTTTGCGACATTCTTTGCGCTACACAAAGCCAGATGGCCAACATGGAGCCCAGCGACCACCGACCAGGTCTGAGGTGCTCCTCATCGAAATCACAGACAACGGGGAATAATGATAGGGCTACAATACTCCGTATAATGCTACAAGTACAGTCTCCTTCAAACACAATATTACCTGACTCCCATCTTCCAACTGCACGCCTGAAACGCCAAGTAGTGAGCCTCCACCATCGCCGATTTTCAAGACCGACTGCTTCGCCGATGTAGCTCCCGCTGTAGCGGCACGATAGATATACACATTTCCTCCTCCGCGCGCAGACGAACCACTCTCGAACGCTAGGACAGTCGTCGGTGTGTGATGCACAAATCGTGTATCTTGCTTTGAGGCAAGCACGAACGCCAGCGCCCCGAAGGTCGCCGTGTGCTCCCACTGTCCGTCAGGACCTTCCGTAAAGACCACACCGTCCAAATTTTCTTTTGCGATAATCGATGCTGATTGAGGGTATCCAGGCAAAGGAGTCGACAGTAAGCGCAAGGGATACTGCCCTGCCGCCTCTTCCTCCTTACCCACAACCGTCACCCTCGCCTCCTTTCCTACAACCAGGTCCACCTCATCATCCATTTCGCCCGATGCCAGCGCCGGAGCCCCCGTCCCCAGCCCCAATCCGCTCAAATCAGCGCCAGATGTATGTTTCTCCAGCGCCTCGCGCACCTTCACCAACTCTGAGGGATCGATAGTCTCTGGAACGTCTGGTCTCGCGCCAGTCCCCGCGCCCTCGAATACATGCATCCATTTATCTCCCGGGTGCCGTTTCTCCAGGTGAAGCATTAACATCCCATCAGCCTTGTCCCACGTCCATGTACTCTCCGATGGATCGATATTCGCAAACAGCGGCTCGTCGCTGAGATCAGGAAAGGTGTATGTATCCGTGAGCTTCGCGGCGATGTGCAGCGAAATCGTCTTCGGGGCCATAGAAACAGATATTTGGCTGCGAAGGGTTGTGGAGGGAAGTGCGAAGGCGACGGTCAGCTCCTCGTCGGTTTGATACCACGAATATGGAGGCGGCGCGGGTTCTGTCGTGGCCGCGTCAAGACTCTCCCCTGCTTGAGGAATTGGCGCTATTTCTGCTGGGCTTGGTGTGTAGGAGGGGGCGGGGGCGGAATCCAGGGAACGATATGTGGATTCGCCGAGCAAAACGATGGACTGTGATTTCGGCTGGAAGAAGGTACTCAGAGGTACATCTTCGCCTATGCGCTCCCAGGCTACGGACAGTGTGGGCGGATGGCCTTCGAAATGCAGACCACGGACGTGATAGTCGACATGCAAGGGTTTCGAGGTGGATACGACCTCTGTTGGGTGGTAGTTTCGCGATGAAACGACCAAAGAAAAAGCGCCGGAGTCTAACTTCTGTGCAGAGTGAATCTTGAAGGGTGTATCCAAAGCGTCTGTCGACGAGACCAAGATGTATGGTCCATTGTCTGAGACTTCAAGCACATACACCGTCCCAGCGCCGTCCGACACAAATACAGAGGTCCCAGAGAACGCTGCGGATGGATATTCTCTGTGTTTCACGTCGTTTGATTCTGTTTGCACTGGCCGTGGAATGGCATATACAACACGACAAGACACATCCTACTGTACCGGTCAATATTGCATTTCACAAAGAACGCAGGGGATACACACCGGTCTGAAGCTTATCTCAACAAGATTAAACGCCGAATCAAAGTATAGCGCGCGTCGGCCATCCGTCGCCAAGTGGTTATGCGATATCCTGCTCTGCACCTCCTTGAACGTGAGCAATGTCTTTGTGGACGAAGTTGACTGCGTCGCGGGGTATTCCGCTATGCTGATAGTCTTGACCGCGTCGTCCTGTGCAATGAGCGAGAGTTTGTATCCCTCAAATTGTGGATTCAAGAGCTCTCGGCGCGTCGTAAAGCTCATGGCCGTGTGTGATCAAGATTGTGCGGAATCATCGGGCCGGGAACTTGATGCAAACTTCAGAGAACTGTAGTCTCAAAACTCAAAGCAGTGGTGTTACACTGTTAATGCCATTGACATACCTTTGCGCTCATGTCCATTTGTTTCCACCTACTAAGACGTTAGAGATGCTTAATGACTTTGTGCGGCACAGAGGCATTTCAAATATACATTTGTGGTCAGCGTGAAGCCGCCGCACCGCTGTTAACCACCGCCATACTACCCGTCAGTGGACGCATCCGCTGAGCACAGAAAGGTCAACTCATATGTCCGAAAGGTCGAGAACGGTGCAATCAACAACGCGGACTACTTGAGGGCATCAGCGAACGTTAACAACCACAAGGCCACATCTTGCATTCATGACGAAGGGATTCCCATCCAAACCCCAATCTAGTTTACGCGTTATAACAGACGCTATATAGTATGTACAGTTACAATAGTTAGAATAAATACACCGTTGGACAGCAATAAAAAGCAAGCAAATACATCAGCCGTGCACCCACTGAGGCCACGATACAAAATACGACTGTTCTCTAATGCAATCTATCCAGACGTTCACGGTAGAGTCGCCTTGAAGAGCTCCTCTCCGACGACCTGCAACCCCTCGTGCCTCAGTGCACCCATCCAGGTGAATGGAACTTGTCCCAAGTCATGCAGGCGCATATATGTCTCCGACACCACCTCGTCATGCTTCTCTGGTTGAGCGGCACATAGCGCAAACAGTGCGCGCGCCATGACATCTGCACGACAGCTGCCTTTGGTGCGAAATTCCGAACACGGTACGCCAGAGTCGTCCGCTTCTTGAGCCGAAGGTACCGAAAACACTCCAGAGCCAGGCAGCACCTCTACGGGCCGTGGCCTACGAGGGAGGTTGGACGCATGTGGTTGGAGATGGCCTTTGGGTAATAGATTGCGGGATTGAAGACCGATGGGAAGGGCGCCAGCAGGTTGAAGGAGAGGTAGGGACGAATCAGATGAACTAGTCGCAGCGAAAGCGTCGAGGACGGGCATTGAAGCTTCACGCGAAGCAAAAGACGACGTTGGAGAGGAAGCCACAGTGGATGTGGAATCTGGGATGTCGTCCGACGACGAATCTGTATCCGGGCTTGGGAGCTGCGTCTGCCGGCGGCGGCGGGGTAAGTTGCTAATGTGGGGCTCCAGATGGCCTTTCGAGCTCATGATGGGGAACGACGTCGCAGGTGGTTGTGCGCTAATGAGATTTTCGCGTGAAGCGGCAGGTGTGGGGAGCATGATGGTGGTGGAAACAAGAGAGTGGTATGTACACTTCTAGAACGTCATTGCCCGTTGAGCATTTAAGAAGGGAGCCTCAGGGCCGATTAAACTCACCAGAGGCAGGAAAGAACCAATGGAACGACTTCTAGAAATTGAACTGTGTGTCCACGATGATGGTCTAGTGCGGGGTAATGACCTAGGGCGATTCATCGTTCCGTCAGCGAAAAGTTAGCGGGGATAGACTATCACGCACCGATGCACGCCCTTCGCAGAAAGAAAACGAAAACGAAAAGTCTAGGAAAATAAACACAAGCGGAGTCACAGCGATGGTAGTTATGAAGAGGGCGTGTTCAGCGCATGGTGTCTAGCTATCTGCAAACACGTGCTAACGTTTGGTCCCCGATCGTGCCAAAAGCCGGCCGCCTGAGCTCGAGTGGCGGAGTGGCGCGCACAGTGGGGGGTTCAGCATTGTGATACAGCACACCGGCATGCACTATCAACGGCGTTGCTTTATTTCTGTCCGCTCAGGTACTGTATTCTCGGCAACAGGAGTATATGAAAAAGAAATGTAATGAATTTCTATCACGTATTGCAATTCAACGACAATGTGGCTTGAGGAAAATATGCGTATAGTACCAGATAGTCTCTGCCTGCCCTCAGAGGGACTTATAACAGTTTTTCATGATGTAGGCATATGGCGCTCTGACATCCTCATCCTCAGCGTGAAGGTAAAATCGCATTCTATCATCGCTGAACCTAAGAATCAATATTGGGCCATACCAAATCCTCACTCCACTAGTCCCGTCCTCGAATGCCCGAATCGCCTTGTTGATGCATTCTGGCTTCCTCTCTAGCATCGCCATTTTGGAGAAGAGTAATTCGACTGGATAGTGAAGGCGCTTGCCCTCGTGATGAGTGAATGTTACACTTTCTGGGCACTCGCCGTCGGGAAATATTTGGTCAAAGATTGGCATAGGGAAGTTTATCCTCCAATTGGTATTGTAGGCGACGCGAGTTCTAATGTAGCCAGAGTCTACAGCGACGTTAGCTTTGCCAATTATCTGCAGGCGAGGACTGGTACTACCTTGATCAAGAGGGATGTGCAGTCCAGTGTGGATTAGGACGTCGGGTATGCGAAATGCCGGGGATAATGGGACAAAGTTCCGAGCAAGGACACAATTAGGGTCGAAATCTGGGGACAGATGGCAAGTCCCAACCATTTCGTGCTTGATCAAGTCCTAGATTCAAAGTGTGATCAACTTCCCTCCATGTTTATCTTAGTTCAAGGATTTCAACGTACGGCGTTGTAGTGCTCGGTTTTGCAGTAGAAGGCGTTCTTGCAGCGATTACATTCGTAGGATGTGATCTTGCCGCAAAAATTACAAGGGCCAATGAGGCGATCTTTATGCTCAGTGAGTCTGACCGAGTAGAACATCTTCGTAGGTGGTTGGGCGTCGCAAGAGATGTGTGGTATGGAGAGAATGGGATTTAACATCTTTACACAACCCTTATATACATACCAGGATCAGAAAATGAACAAAAGGCCAGCGGTCTTTTTCATTAGAGTAAGCCATGTTGGCATACTAGGTCCGTTTCCTCACTACAAAAGGTATTCATCCTTGAGTTTCCATGGTCTTGTTCCTTTTGCGATCCATTGGCTTATGAACTATCATCGAGACGGTCTTTCATGGAGCCTCACAGGACTATGAGAGGGATATGGACCGCTCTTGCCAAAGCCTCAACACCAGCGGTCCACGAATGCTAGTAACAATAACATATCAGCAAGGAA